CAACTACATGGATTGTATACCTTTTTCATTTTATTCACCTTTTTCAGGAAGAAAAAATGCTTCTTACAAGGGGCAGTGGAGTGACCAGATCTAGGTCCTATTACGAGCCCCTCCCCAACATCTACACTCCACTATTCAGCGCGGTCATGGTTTTAAACCCTATTTTATACCTTCTGCGCCTGTGTTTTTTGCACAATTACTATTTCGCGCAACAAACACATTCATTGCAAACAACTGAAATATAGATATATGCGAAACCTTGCAAAGACCGTGGCCCTTAGGAATAATACCAGGTGAGGAATAGCGATCTGGTTTTCCGTCAAATATACCTTTACACAATGAACAAGCGAGCAAAGAGGGGTGAAGTGTTGGTGGCGAGTGGGGGGTGGAATCCTTCACAGACCCCTATCGCATCCATAACACCATTACAGCAAAAGTAAAATAAGTGACACATTTTTCAGAAAGGGCTCTTCAGAACTCCGACAGCTACATCTTTTTCACTGACTTAGATCGCGCCTCGAATGTTATCCTCAGAGTACTGAGTTATGGCGAAAAGTTAGCACCAGACAGGACCCCAACCGTTCATTTTGTTGTTAAAGCATGATAGCTACTGGTTACCGCCACAGTACGCGTTTCGAAAGTCGTCACAAGAATGCTGAGTGATGGAAAATAGTCATACCCCAGGCGGGACTCGAACTCTCATCTATCGCTGAACGGACTAGTGCGCTATCCACTACGCCACAGGGGTCGCTCTTACCCTCTCAGCTATGTGCCCTCGGTCACAGAATCTGACTTACCTTTGAAAAGAAGTTCTTAACCATTAATAAGAGCACTCTGTGTAAACTTTCTGGCACCTCAGTAACCACCGTTGTCTCAGGTGCTTTCGTGTCTCCTCCACCTGCAGTGCTGGTAGCATTGGACATACCCTCTAAAATGTTTATTCTAAAACGAAAATGCTACGGTATCGTAAAAAATCTCAAAGCGATATCGGACTAAGGCGACACCATCCGAAGCATAAAAACATACAAAAATATAAATCTTTTATTCTCGTAAACAAATTTACGTACTGAACAAAAAAAACAAATAAAAAAAAGTTTGACTATTACTACCATACTGGGCAATTTAATTTCCAAACCTTACTCAATGGATAGCCACACAAGACGCGCTGCATTAATCGAGCTCTGAGACAATGAGATATTATATGGAATAAAGCGAGCCTATTGCCATAAGGATTCATCACAAGAAACACAGTCGAAATTACAAGAATAATAAAACGATTGAGCGTGATAATACAGAACATTAGATGGTAATTTGAGACTACGAAGATATATCAATGAGTGATCGGCTGCTCATCGAATTCGCACATCAAGCGGCGGCCAATTCAATGCAGACCCGACAGGGAATCTGCATAGGGTATTGAAAGAGAATTCCATATATAGGACAGAGAGAAGGACAATAATGGGACAAAACGCCCGCCTTACGGCATTCATACCACGCTCATACTTCGCGACTTGAGCGGTCCACTCGCGTGATCTCGTAGGAACCATCAACCAGAACTGCTCGTTCGCTCACCATAATTTGCTGATTTATAAGATTTCCACAACATAAGTATCACCAGCCATATGGCTGAAAAACGACTGATAGAACAGCTAATATGCGCGGATTGTCGGCACTGCTCTACAGCATCTGGTGGATAAACGGGTTGGCGTCGAGTACTAACTTCTCGCCTGATGCCCCTTCATTGTACAAACAGGGCTTAATATCAAAAAACCCTTGCAGGATAACATCAGCAGTCATCCCTCAGAGCTGGAAATATTCGCGGTGTGCGGCGCTGTCGCCAGGGTAGCGAAGCAATAAGGCGGCTATGACATTAGATCTCCCGCCTTAATTAATGTGAAGCGCACCTTACTATTCACGACAATTATTCTCTCAAACAGCTGAAAGTATAGCAATGGGTTTTTTTTTCGCCGAGCACAGGTAGTATGTAGTATCGTGCGCGTAGCGCGCGCGGGCTTTCATGTCTGCAAACGATAGAGTGTGCGATGGGGGCATGGATCGGAGCCTGCCGAGACGATTTTCTTCACCAATGATGCTATCCTGAGTCCGCAAGAAATCGGGAAAGGCTTTTCGGCTTCGCCCCAGCTTACGTCCCTGCACAGGCCAATCTTCTGCAGGGATTATTACTGTCTTGCGTGCATCACTAATGAGTGAAAAGGTTTTGGCTGAAGGAAATGTCTCGTAGCAATCTAATTTCATTTCAACACATAAATAAACACGTGGCTGGAAGTAATATAATATCAACTACCCTATTTTCTGGGGTACTACCCTATTTTCTGACGCACGCGTGAATCAGGCGCACCTTCTCCCCTATCACGCGCAATGTCGCATGCGTTCCTGCTAGCTTGGACTGAGGGCTCCCTATACCCCAGAAAATAGAGTACGTTTAAGATGATCACTGGATGCTTTTTAATCTGATCAAGGCCTAAAAGCCTTTGTAAGGAAATAGCTCTCTACCTAACTACTCTTAAACATCTTTCCTTATCCTCTACCAGCTTCCTCAGCTTCTAATTGATAGAAGGACGGAGGATCATAGAAGTCACATATTGCTCCAACGCTAGGATCACGACCCTTAAAGACACATTTCAGCAAGATAGGAGAGTATAATAAGGGACTTAAAACTACCTGAAACCGCCGATAGAGCTCCTTGGCTACATCACCAGATCCTCGGGACAAAATTGTGGCCTTCAACCGTTCACCTGTTTTCGCCACATCGTCTTCGAAGTCAAACGTATCATGAATATCTAATGCAAGCATCTGAAAATTGTGGGAACTCGCGCTAACGAAGTCTGCAATGAACCAATTCAAAAACATTATTAATTAAAGACACTTTCCGTGGGTGGAAGTGGTGGGTTGTGGGGCTATATCACAGCATTATGGGTATTAAATGGTTTAACAGAGAAGAAAAAACCAAAAGGAAGCATGGAAAGTGCTCCAGTGACAACTACTCTCGAGTTGACGAGCTTAGCAACTTCTGACGAGTTCTCCGGAACTTCCGTTTTTATGCTTCAAGCGAATACGGTCTCCTACATCTTGCATGACGCCTTAACTGCGTTGATTTATTTAAGCCCGCCTGATATGTCAACTTTTCGTAGAAGAGCGAAATGGCGGATCTCAGGCAAAGGGGCTCAATCTCCAGCAGGCCACTAGCCTCTGGCGTCTCTACTATGCAACTTCGAGCGACTAAAGTGGTACATCGTGGCCCCCGCCCCTTACGCGCGAAAAAATTGCACCCATTAGGTAATTACGACATGTGCCTTTAAGAAGTCGTAGATCACCTCAGTCCACAATTTCCTGTAAGTACATCCCCATATAAGGTTGCAAGCCGAATATCGGTATGAACGAGCACGGTTGATAATCGTTCCTTCCGGCTTTGAACGGGAAATATTCCTTTGACATTTCACGATATAAATCCAGCCAGAACTTCTTCCTAGGAAAAAAATTAATTCGTAATAGGGAGAGGTTTCACGTAAGAAATACATGGAAGATATGGGCTTACTTCCTGTCCTCCATTTCGAATATGGTTAGATCGAAATCAGACCAGAACAACGATCTGTATGACTCCCAAAGAGTGGCTCGCGATAAAGCAAGGCAGACGTTGTTAGCAAATTCATCCGACACTGTAGAACCGTTGACCTAAAAAAATTGGAAAAAATAGAGCTTTTTGAATAACGACGTTGTGGGGAGAAACTAGGCAACTTGGAAAAACAAAAATGAAGGAAAAGCTCAAGAAACTTACAATATGTGGTGAACTGAGAGATTGAAGCAGAGTTGGTTTATAAACGAAGAATTGCAGGAATGCTGGGAACATATCGGCAGCATCCCAATCGCTAGCATAAAATGGAGCCCAAGGAATCGCTATATCCCGATAGGGAGCTCGCGAGAGTAACATTTGAACGGAACGGCCAACCTAGAATCAATATTCTCGCTTTGACTTGCATTGCAGAAAAAGGTTCATGGCTTACATGGAACAGCAATTGCTGGAGTTGCTGATGATGGAGGAGTGATGGCGAGCTATCCGTAGGTGCGATGCAATGGCAGATCCAACCAGATAAACTATCTTATCAAGACCACGAACATCTTGATTCACTAAAAATTTCCATGTAGTCTTCTTCGTCTCGCGGATATGAATGGGCATGATGTGAGCTCGTTTGCGGCCGCCAACCTGTTTCCACATCTTGTTTGATGTTGAGAATCGACAACAAATTGGTTGGAAAACTATACAACCATTACCATGCTAGCGTCTTGTCGCTCCACGTTCGCGGTAAAGATAGAAAAACGAGATTCGATGCTACGCAGTCCATTTCCCCTCCTCCCTACAGTGATGCCCTCATCACATAAAGCGGAGAAAAACTCTAGCAATGGTTGGAAATGCCGGAACTTCCCGACTTATACGTTGACTCTTCTACATTACACTCTCCATCTATGACTTTTCAATGAGTCCTGTTTAATAAAAAAAAAGCAGTTAAAAGCAAATCTCATCCTACAAGCGAAAGATTTATTACGAAACCACAGATGAAATTAGTGCAGGAACATAATTACACAGGTGATAACCCGGTCAAAAAAACAAGAGCTGTCAGCCGCCATTTCAGGTGCAACTTGGATCATTCGTTAGCTCTGCTAATAAGAATGTAAGAGCGCTCTTTGAGCAACTGAATCGCTGTCGGAAGTACGAACACAGTTCTAGGTCTTGCAGACAAACTGTACATTCACCTTCAAAGACGCTCGCTTCCATGTGCAACCTCGCTCGAAAGCGCACGGAAACTAAGGTGTAGAGAAGTGATGATGGGTGTGGTGATGTTACATGCTTCGCCTACGCTGTCTTCAAGATGCGGCACATGTGCAGATAAGAAGATCCCACAGTGAAACACCTACTCAGCGGAGGGGGAACAACAAGAAGTGAGAGTACGCGGGCAAGTGGCGCCTTTGGCTACGGTGTGTGGCTGGCTGCGCGGCGTGCGAGGCGAAGTATGGAGTCGGCATCGGAGTGTACTTTGCTTCAGCTCCGTTCCTGTGCAGTTTTGAGCGGATAAAGTGGTTCACTGCAGCTGTGGAACGTTCCCTCCACATGCGGGAAGAACCAGGACCCACGAAGGTGAGTGTATGTCTTGTCTTAACCCTTGACTCTAGAAATTACCAACATTGTCTATGATTTTTTAGAATTTTTCTAGTGTAATTAGGTTTCAAATGGAAGCGTGAAATGAATATTACTGACTTCGACCGAGCAGCGTATTCCATCCTCCACGTTTAGCTTCTCTATCAAATGGATCGATATAAAGTCTTCCTAGATGCTGCCCTGTTGTAACATCGTCCACAGAGAAAATTCGCGCATCTGGATGAGCACGTTCGAGACCACCATCCGTTACGTCCTGAAGGGCACTGGCCACAGTTATGGGAAGGCTAAGGTAGTGCTACGAACTTACGTGAAATTCTAATCCAAATATTTGTCCTAGGACCTTCGTTAAATTGATGAATGTTGGCCAAAATGGGAAATAGTTCATCAGATCCAACGGGATCGACACTAAATGCACAGTGTTTAGAAGGATCGTATGAAATCAATAAGTGTTTGTGCTTGCGCCGTTGGCTTACTCGTAGTGTTGTTCAGCTTCTTTTCTACAGATGTATGCGAGATCGTGAGCTTGCAAATTGCTAGACATGAGCTCTTTGGCTTGAGCGAAAGCTGTCCATGACTCCATTCGATCAATGAACACTGGCCGAATACGACGAGTCAGTCTAAAGAA